GTAGGGCTTTAAATCTTAATCCCTACATAGGGTTTTCGAAATACTCCTAAAACCAAACGTTACCGCCCAGCTAAATGAATATATCAACGTAGAACGGACTGGGGCCTCACATCCAACACAACCACAAGCACCCAAACAAGTCATAAGCCATTCAATATACTTCATTAGGGTCACAATACCCTTCAATGATAGCCAATTAGAAGTTCAACAATCAACTCTAGAAAACCCCCAAATTGAAACCCTAAATCTGAAATTTTCCGCACAAGCGGAAATTTCCCGCAATTAACTCCAATTAACGCACAAGAGAGCTATAAAACACCATTTGGAACCATCAATTCAAGCTCAATCATAATCAATCATGGAAAACAGAAAAATTCCAAGAAAAATCAGAAAATTAGGAAACTTCACTCCAATCCACCAAATCTTCCGAAAATCACGTATATAACTACTATAAGGCACCAATTGGCCAAAATTAAAACCAAAAGATGAGTTCCAAGCAAGATACCTTAGTTCTTCAAGAAAGGTTGTAGCTTGTGAGGTTTTCTTCCAAACCAACACCACTAAGTTCTTCAAACACTCCTAGGAAGATGATTTTATGGACTACTTTGGGAATTAATCGGTTAGTTTTCAAGATTTGGCAAGAATTTGTAGATGAAAGGTTGAAGAGTTTTTCTCCTTTGCTCCAAGAAGTTTCGGCCAAGACAAGGCTGAAATGAAGAGCTCTTGGTCAAAATTACACTTTAAATCAAGTAAGGTAAGTTTGGTCAAAAGTTAGGCAAGGTTGGTCCAACCAAAATTGGACACTTGGCACTTTGTCTTGCTAGAGTTATCTTCTTGTCTCCTCAGTATTAATTCATCTAGGTAACCTCCAATTATCTCCTAACACCTAGTACTTAAATCCCTATATGCAATATTTAACCGAATCGGCCGAATTTCTCTCACTTAATGCACTAGCGGGTCCCACGTCCAAAATACGTTCCAAATTTCTCACGAACTACCTTATACTAGAAAAATGATTTTAAAACTATATTTACTGATAAAATGTTGATAAAAGTAATATAATAAAGAAAATAAAAAAAAACGGGTGCACAGGAATAAAATAATAAATAAATAAATAAATTTTTTTTTTCTGGGTTCTCACACTCTCTCCCCCTTAAAGAATTTCGCCCTCGAAATTGCTCACCTGGGTTACTAAATAGCTCAGGGTATTTCTTTTGCATCTCTTCCTCCAACTCCCAAGTTGCCTCTTCTATTCCATGATTTCTCCACAAAACCTTCACTAATGGAATTTGCTTATTCCTCAGTTCCTTAATCCTCCGATCGAGTACTTGTACAGGTCTTTCTTCGTAAGTAAGTGCCTCATCTAACTCAATCTCCTCTGGTCGCACAACGTGGGTTGGATCAGGATAGTATTTTTTCAGCATCGAAACATGGAAGACGTCATGAATCCGAGATAAACTTGGCGGCAACTCGAGTCGGTACGCTACCTTCCCAACTCGTTGGAGAATTTTGTAAGGCCCCACGAACCGTGGTTGAAGTTTCTTTCCTCTACCCGCAGTGACGCTTCGTAGTGGTGTGATTTTAAGGAAAACACGGTCTCCAACTTCGAACTCCAAGTCTTTCCTTCGGTTATCTGCGTAGCTCTTTTGTCGGCTTTGAGCTGTTTGGAGTCTTTGACGGATCAATTTAACCTTCTCTTGTGCATCCTCCATCCAAGGAATGGTTGTTGGATCTAGAGCTTTCTTTTCCCCTACTTCATCCCAATAAATGGGCGAACGACACTTCCGTCCGTAGAGAGCTTCATATGGTGCCATTTGAATGGACGAATGGAAACTGTTATTGTAGGCAAACTCTACCAAAGTCATATGTTGACCCCAATTACCCCCAAAATCCAGAATACAAGTCCGTAACATATCCTCGAGGGTTTGAATGGTTCGCTCTGACTGTCCATCCGTCTGGGGGTGATAAGTGGTACTAAGGTTGATTTTGGTCCCCAAGTTCTCCTGAAACTTTTGCCAAAACCGCGATACAAAACGAGGATCTCGGTCTGAAACTATACTCACTGGAACCCCATGCAACCTCACAATTTCATTCAGGTACAACCTAGCCAACTTATCCATGGAATCCTTCACATTCACAGGTAAGAAATGAGCCGATTTGGTCAACCGATCAACGATCACCCAAACGGCATCATGTCCTTTTGAGTTCTTGGCAGTCCAGAAACAAAGTCCATCGTGATATTTTCCCACTTCAGGTATCTCAAGAGGTTGTAACAGTCCAGAGGGTTTTTGGTGTTCAGCCTTGACTTGCTGGCAAATCAGACAGGTTTGGATATATTGAGCAATCTCCCTCTTCATCTTATCCCACCAGTACAACCGTCGCAAGTCTTGGTACATCTTATTACTACCAGGATGGATCGTGTATTTCGATCGATGGGCTTCCTCTAAAATTTCTCTTTTCAGGTTTTCATCATTGGCTACCACTACTCGGTTCCTATACCTTAAAATCCCTTCAGGACCCAAATTGAAGTCAGGTAGTGCTTCCTTTTCCACCTTTTCCTTCCACTTTTGTACCATCGGATCCTTCTCTTGGGCTTCTTTAATTCGATCGAGAATAGCAGATGTCACCCGAATATTCCCAAAAGTTATTTGTTTGCATCCCAGTCTAGGGTTCCACTCGCTAGCTGCTCCTAACATTTCCCACTCCTTGACCATTAACCCTGCTACTTGAGCCTTCCGACTTAAGGCGTCCGCTACTACGTTAGCCTTACCGGGATGGTAGTTGATCGTGCAGTCATAATCTTCTAAGAGTTCCATCCACCGGCGTTGCCTCATATTCAACTCTTTTTGGGAGAAAAGGTATTTAAGACTCTTATGGTCTGAATAAACCTCAAAGGTAACCCCGTAGAGATAGTGTCTCCACTTTTTCAGAGCAAAGACCACAGCAGCTAACTCCAAGTCATGGGTAGGGTAGTTTTGTTCATGGGTTTTCAGTTTCCTAGAGGCAAAAGCAATCACGTTCTTGTTTTGCATTAACACACACCCTAAGCCTTCCCTCGAAGCATCGGTATAAACAGTAAAACTGTCCTTCCCATTAGGCAAGGCCAAAACAGGAGCCACGGTTAACCTTCGTTTCAACTCCTGAAAACTGGTTTCACACCTAGTATCCCACACAAAACGGCTATTTTTCTTCGTTAGATCGGTTAAAGGGCCAGCCAGTTTGGAAAAGTCTTTAATAAAGCGTCTATAGTACCCAGCCAACCCTAAGAAACTGCGAATCTCAGTGGGGTTTTCTGGCCTCTTCCATTCAGCCACTGCCTCTACTTTCGCGGGATCCACTGTAATACCTTCTTTTGAAATCACATGTCCCAAGAAAGAGATTTTCTCCAACCAAAATTCACACTTACTAAATTTGGCGTATAGCCGATGATCTCTCAGGGTTTGTAACACTAGCTTCAAATGCTGCTCATGTTCCTCACGGGTTTTAGAATAGACCAAGATGTCGTCAATAAACACGACAACAAATCGGTCCAGGTAGGGTTTGAAAACCCGATGCATCAAATCCATAAAGGCGGCAGGGGCATTGGTCAACCCAAAGGGCATGACTGCAAACTCAAAATGCCCATATCTAGAATTGAAAGCAGTCTTGGGTACATCTTCTTTCTTAATAAGCAACTGATAGTAACCCTGTCGGAGATCTAACTTGAAAAGACCACCGCGCCTTGCAACTGGTCAAACAGTTCATCGATATGGGGAAGTGGGTATTTGTTCTTAATGGTCATATTGTTTAATCCCCGATAATCGATACACAATCTTAAAGTTCCATCCTTCTTCTTAACAAATAGTACCGGAGCCCCCCACGGAGATCCACTCTCCTGAATAAACCCACGCTCCAACAGGTCTTGCAACTGTAATTTCAACTCCTTGAGTTCAGCAGGTGCCATTCGATAGGGGGTCTTAGAGATAGGTGATGTCCCCGGTAACAGGTCAATCTTAAACTCTATCTCTCTCTCCGGAGGTAAAGTTACTAATTCATCAGGAAACACATCGGATACTCACTTACTACAGGCACATCTTCAACCCTCAACTTATCAGTAGGAGTGTTTATAAGAAAAGCTAGGAACCCTTGGGCCCCTTTATACAGAAATTTCCTAGCCCGAATACCCGAAATCAATGCAGATGAGGCTAAACTACCCCTTATATCGAGCCTTAGGGTTGCCTCCCCCGGTATACGAAATTCCACTACTTTTCTCTTACAATCAAGTTGTGCATCGTACTTAGCTAGCCAGTCCATACCCAATATAACGTCGTACCCCTTAATAGCTAAACTTATAAGATTCCCCAAAAGCTTCCTCTCTCCTACCCAAATTTCGCAATTTGTATACATCAAACCAGTAATCAAACGTTGGTCCCCCGTAGGAGTACTAACTTCTAAGTCATAAGGCAAGCTAACAGGGGTTATATCAATGCCGCACATAAAATTGGGGTTAACAAAGGAATGGGTAGCACCAGGGTCGATCAAAATCCTAGCTAGACGATGAAAAACAGGGATCGTACCTTCTACAACCCCAGAGGAATCAGGGACTTGTTGTTGCTCAAGGGAGTAAACCCGAGCTGGCACCTTTGGCTTTGTCCCTTCTACCTTGGACTGTCCCGAGTTAGCCTTCGACGACTGGGTGGTTACTCTAGCCTCCCGAGGTAACACCGGACAGTTAGCTATTTGATGCTCCGCACTCCCGCAGCGCAAGCATTTCCTTTCTTTCCTCCAACAGTTGTCCTCAGTGTGGTTTGGTTTCCCACAAAATCCACAGGGTCCACGTGCAACTGAGGCCGAACTTCCTTGTGAGACGCTTCTCTGCGGGCCCCGTCCATTGTGACCACCCCTCGGCGGAGTCCCTCGTGTCATTCCCGGTTGCCTTCCTCCCCCGGCTCCTCTTCCAAACTTGGGAGGGGTCCCTTTATCCCCTTGGGTCGAACTACTCGCAGAGAACCCCCGTTTTTTCACCTGAAAGTTCTTACTTGAAGCCTGGCATTTTCAACTCGCAAAGCTTTCTCCACGGCGTCACTAAAGATATTGATCTGGGCTACCGCCAGATCCTTTTGAATTTCCACATTGAGCCCTTGAATAAAACGCCGAACTCTCCTTTGCTCCGTTAGAATGAGTTCAGGGAACTTAGATAAACGAGTAAACTGGCTCTCGTACTCAGCCACCGATTGCGTCCCCTGACGGAGTCTAATGAACTCGTCCTCCTTCTTTTCCTGGACTAGAGGGGGAAAGTATTTCGCATTGAAGTCCCTCACAAAGTTTACCCATGTTCTTGGGGTTTGTTCCCGGTCCCACTTCATTCGTATCACGTTCCACCAAGAACGCGCGGCCCCTTCCAATTGGAAGACAGCGAAAGTAACCTGCCTCTCCTCTGAATAGTGTAGGGCGGCGAAAATATCTATCATTTTCTCTAACCATTTTTCGGCCACGTCCGGATCTGGCCCGCCCAGAAATTTTGGCGGAGAGAACTTCTGAAATCTCTCTAGGGCCCGATCTTCACTCTCTACTACATGGCCAGGGTTCCCAGGTTGCTGGATAGGAGGTTGGCCCTGCTGTTGCACTACGTGGGCTAACAGTCGGTCATTTGCTGCATAGCAGCAGCTATTGGGCATTAGGGTCAACCCTAGGTTCAGGATTTGGTTCAGTCGTGGTATCCCTAGTACCCTCGTCAGTTGTGGGTTGCCTAACCCCGCGCCCGCGGCCTCGTCCACTACGAGTGCCTTCCATTGCTCTAATGTCACTCTAAAGTCGAGGTACAAAATAATATTAAAAGTGCATATAATATAGTCACATAAGCATGATCGAAGAACCAAAATAAACACCACATAAGATATGTATACACAGAACACATAACTGTGACAAACAGTCATACATGAGCAGTCAAGCAAATATATACAAAAGTACTCCCGTGAAGCCAAAAGAGGGTCTGTCAAAATACACTGTACAACCTAGGCCCCAAAAGGTACAAAAGGTACAAAACAGCTAACCAAAAGCTTTCCTAGGTATCCCTCACACGGGATCAAAACAAGGCTCAAAACCCTAATCTAGTCCTCGACGGAGCCAACCGACTCCCCCCCAGAGCTAGAGCTAGGGGCGCCTCCCTGACCTGGAGCTCCGCCACCTGGAACTCCCCCTGGCGCATTGGCGCCAATCACTCCCTGGATGAGTGCCCCACACTCATCGATAATAGCGCCGGACCGGTCTCTCACCTCCCGGACTACCCTAGTGAGGCGGTCGTTAACCACCTGCAACTGCTCTCTCAGAGCGTTCGTCCTCTCCTGCTCCATGGCCACGTCCCCCTGGAGCTCCCAATCCTATCGGCCTGCATCCGCGTGATGCCCCTAAGCCTAAGGGTCTCAGTGCGCTCCCTGGCGGCGGCACACTAAGCCTCCGTCGCTCAGCAAGCACTGCCACAACCACGTGGTCCGCGTAAGAATAAAACTGGCAACGCCTACAGCGGCGGGTCCGGCTAGCGGTATACCACAGCCGGATCGGACCTCCTGGTCTCTCCTGGAAGTCGATAACCCGTGGGCGCCTCTGAGGTGGCTCGTCTCCGCCCGCTCCACTAGTGCCAGCCATAACCTACAAAGATAAGGTTTATAGCTTAGACAATATATTCACACTTAATGGCGTCTAAAAGCAATCCCAAAAGTTTGAAGGACCAGGTTTTAGGTTCGCCCAGGGTAATTCTAACCTAGGCTCTGATACCACCTGTGACAGCCCCACCTTCCCCTAAGGCATACCAAAGGGGTTAGCGGACTGCCTGCCCAGCTCTCGCCAGGACTACTAAAACGGTAAAACAGTAACTCAAGGCGTTCGGGAATCTACTAGCGCGCTTAACCAAACCAACAAATGAGAAACGGAAAAAATTGGAAATCCAAAACGTAAAGCAAATAGAGCATTGCCACGTCACAAACCACCAAGGCCCAAAACAGGTAACTTTCAACAATCCCCAAAAGGTATATCTACAAGCCAAATATATTACATAGAACAGGAGTACACACACATTGTTACAAACCACATTCGTGGGTTTGCAAGCCAAAAGGAAACATTTAAAATCCAAGTACAAATAAAGTTGCCAACTATTGAGGAGCTATACAAAATCTTTCAACTAGCTCTACGCAACTCATCTTCAAACTCAAAAGTCCAAAAGGTAAATCCCTGTAAGGAAAACAAAATTCACGGAGTGAGCTTTCGCCCAATGAGGTACCGTCACGTAAGTAGATCGGGATCACATAAACACAAGAATATTCAATCCAAATACATACGTCTAGTAAGCAAAAGCAACAACACCCAAGTATCAGGAATAAAAGGATACGGATGGCTCTCAAGAGCCCTTTTCCTCTTTTGCCATGCTTGATCTCATCTCATTGACTCTCCGTCAACGTATACCAGGTAATCATGACCGTAGACTCCTCTTTACTCCATTTATCCGTCCACCTCACTTTCCCCTTACCGGGCCCGAACACCAGACAGTACAGAGTTGGTATTACTCGAGTATACCGGAATCAAGGGTCTCATACCCAAAGATTCCCAAATACAGTCCCCATGGCTTGTCAAATGTCCCCGACCAAGTCCTTACTGGCTCGAGTCCATTGACTTCCAATGAGGTAGAGCTCAGAGTGAACAGTAAAGTTGGTATCCAAGCGATACCAAATCCAGTACAGTCAATAATATTCAAGTAATATCATAAACAGTCAAGTAAGCTTAGTATAATAACCAGTCAAGGAGGCTAGAGAGTACGAGAGTGGTAAAGTACACCCTCGCCTCACCTAGCTCAAACAATCATCACAACTAGTCCAAACCACAGAATTCAAGTACAAGAAAGCCACGGAATAACAAACATGTGAGTAGTACACTCACCAAGTTTAACAAAGAAATTTCACAAGTTTTCGCCCGACGTGAGCCTCGGATCACCGGCACGCCCTATAACAATCAAGAAAGTACAATGAAAACTCAAACACAAGTCGAATACCTTTTTCTAGGAACTATTAAGGCAAGACCCAAATATAGCTTGGAAATGAAAAATACATAACATTTAGGGTTAAAAGGAGAAACAAACCCAAAACCGTTCATTTCTAATCCATCTCAACCCAACTCACAAGAATCTAATACCCTAGACACTCGGACAGCATTTCCCCTAAAATTTCAGCTTTTCCAACCTGCAAGACAACCAATAAAACTATCCAACACAACCACAAGCACCCAAACAAGTCATAAGCCATTCAATATACTTCATTAGGGTCACAATACCCTTCAATGATAGCCAATTAGAAGTTCAACAATCAACTCTAGAAAACCCCCAAATTGAAACCCTAAATCTGAAATTTTCCGCACAAGCGGAAATTTCCCGCAATTAACTCCAATTAACGCACAAGAGAGCTATAAAACACCATTTGGAACCATCAATTCAAGCTCAATCATAATCAATCATGGAAAACAGAAAAATTCCAAGAAAAATCAGAAAATTAGGAAACTTCACTCCAATCCACCAAATCTTCCGGAAAATCACGTATATAACTACTATAAGGCACCAATTGGCCAAAATTAAAACCAAAAGATGAGTTCCAAGCAAGATACCTTAGTTCTTCAAGAAAGGTTGTAGCTTGTGAGGTTTTCTTCCAAACCAACACCACTAAGTTCTTCAAACACTCCTAGGAAGATGATTTTATGGACTACTTTGGGAATTAATCGGTTAGTTTTCAAGATTTGGCAAGAATTTGTAGATGAAAGGTTGAAGAGTTTTTCTCCTTTGCTCCCAAGAAGTTTCGGCCAAGACAAGGCTGAAATGAAGAGCTCTTGGTCAAAATTACACTTTAAATCAAGTAAGGTAAGTTTGGTCAAAAGTTAGGCAAGGTTGGTCCAACCAAAATTGGACACTTGGCACTTTGTCTTGCTAGAGTTATCTTCTTGTCTCCTCAGTATTAATTCATCTAGGTAACCTCCAATTATCTCCTAACACCTAGTACTTAAATCCCTATATGCAATATTTAACCGAAACGGCCGAATTTCTCTCACTTAATGCACTAGCGGGTCCCACGTCCAAAATACGTTCCAAATTTCTCACGAACTACCTTATACTAGAAAAATGATTTTAAAACTATATTTACTGATAAAATGTTGATAAAAGTAATATAATAAAGAAAATAAAAAAAAAACGGGTGCACAGGAATAAAATAATAAATAAATAAATAAATTTTTTTTTTTCTGGGTTCTCACAAATTGTTTAGAGGAGGAACAAGTTTTGACCTTCTTGGATAGATCACCAATGATGAGCTCCTTAGGATGGTTTTGAACAAATTTCCAGACTCTTGGAAGATCGTTAGGTGTACTAACATCTCTGTTATTGTCTTCCAGTGCTGGACTGTCTTGAGAATCGTCTTCCTTTGAGTCATTTTCTGGTGAAGCAGTGTCTTGGTCATTGATTGTGAGATTCTTTAGTACTTCTTGAACACCTGCATCATCATCTTCACCACAACTTTTGGAAATATTACCATTAGATTCATCAAAAGTAATATGTATAGCTTCCTCTATAACCAGAGTCCTTCGATTGTAAACTCTAAAACCTCTCTTATTCTCACAATACCCCAAGAAAATTTCTTCATCAGATTTTTTATCAAACTTACCAAGATATTCCTTGATGTTTAAAATGAAACATTTGCAACCAAAAACTTTGAAGTATCCAACAATAGGCTTTTTATCAAACATCAACTCATAAGAGGTTTTGTTCAAGATTGGTTTTAATAGAATTCTATTCATAGTATAGCAAACTGTATTTATGGCTTCAACCCAAAAATATTTTGGCAAATTGCACTCACTTAACATGGTTCTAGCAGCCTCTTGAAGTGTTCTATTCTTTCTTTCAACAACCTCATTTTGTTGGGGAACTCTTGCAATTGAAAATTCATGTGTAGTTCCATTGTTATCACAAAAATCTGGAAAGCCACAAAAATGAAATTCTGAGCCATTGTCACTTTTGATCTTGATGATTTTCAACCCAATCAGATTTTGAACCTTTGCAAATAATGAAATAAAGTTTTTGAAAGTATCATCTTTGTGTGCAAGAAACATCACCTAAGTGTATCTAGAATAATCATCAACAACAACAAGGCAATATCTTTTGCCACCTATACTAGTAGTTTGTGTAGGATCAAATAAATCAAGATGTAAAAGTTCCAAAGGTTTTGTGGTAGAAACACATTTCTTGGGTTTAAAAGAAACTTTGACTTGTTTACCAAATTGACAAGCATCACAGATTTTATCCTTTTCAAATTTGATTTTTGGCAACCCTCTAACAAGCTCTTTTAGCAAATCCATATTGAAATAACAAAGCCTTCTATGCCACAATCAAGGGTCTTCATTTGCAATTTTAAGACATTTAAGACTAGAAGAATCAACATTTTTCAGAATAACTACATAAATGTCATTAACTCTTTTTCCTTTGAAGATAGTGTTGAACTTTGAGTCATGAACAAGACATTCATGCTTTTTAAATAACACAAACAGATTTCTATCACATAATTGACTAACACTTAACAAGTTATAGCTCAGATTGTCAACTAAAAGAACATTGTGAACAAAGGTTTGACTATTCTTACCAACATCACCAATTCCAACAGTTTTGGCTTTGTTATCGTCTCCAAAAGTTACTTTTCCGCTTGCTTTTAGCTTGACCTTGATGAATTGTGATGGATCACCAGTCATATGTCTTGACCATCCACTATCTATGAACCATTTTGATTCCTTGATAATATTCACTAAGTTCACCTACACAAAAGTTCACTAGATAATATTTGGTACCTTTTACTTTTTGGGTCCTTGAGAGTTAGTATTATGCATAACTATCCACATGCATTTCATACCATTTCTTATATTCTTCCTCACATAACAATTACTCTTCATGTGACCAATTTGACAACAAAAGCTGCACATAGTCAGTGAGTTGCTCACATGGACAAGTTTAACAAATCTGATTTGCCTTCTCTTATAAATGGTAAATTCGTTTGCACTAGAATTCAACCTTTTCTCATGAATGTCAAAATGAGGTTTTGTATCATTCCTTTGAAAGCAGTTTTGTTTCTTATGTTGAAGCAACTAATTAAGACCATGTGACGGCCCCACCTCCCCCTGGGCGTACCCTAGGGTTTAGCGGACCGTCTGCCCAACTCTCGTCAGGACTCACTCACTCGCATCAATGAAAATAAGGTGCAACCTTGATAATAAACGAAATAACGGTTCCCAAGATTGGAACGTACGAATACATTCATTTCTATATCAATCATCCATA